AATAATAATCTTTATTTCTACCCCGCCACCATCCATCCATCTCCCTGATGGGGACTCGGGGCGGCTTACACGAGGCCAAGCCCAACAACGCAATGCAATAAATGAAATCAAGACACAAACAACAACATTATAAAGGACACAAAACATAAAAATACTCCGGCGGTGCAGTGGGTTAAACCCCTGTGCTGGCAGGACTGAAGACCAACAGGTCGCAGGTTTGAATCCAGGGAGAGCATGGATGAGCTCCCTCTGTCAGCTCCAGCTCCTCATGCAAAAGGGGACATGAGAGAAGCCTCCCACAAGGATCATAAAAACATCAATTCATCCGGCGTCTCCTGGGCAACGTCCTTGCAGACGGCCAATTCACCAACACCAGAAGCGACTTGCAGTTTCTCCAGTCGGTCCTGACACGACAAAAACAACAAAACCCCAGAAAACAATATAAAATCCCAATGGAACAATTCCTGGCAGAGTCCCAGTGAGCGGACGGAATGTCCAGAATGAAAGACTGAAGCTGGAAACCCGGGGAGAGAGAGAGAGAGAGAGAGAGAGAGAGAGAGAGAGAGAGAGAAAGAGTTGGAGAGAGAGAGTTGGAGAGGGTTGGTTGTGAGGGGGGGGGGACTCACTCCTGAGGACTGGTGTCGAGGAGGGCGGGGGCAGCCAGGCTTTGAAGCTGCGAGGCTGTTCAGGGCTTCTCCCCAAGGGGGCCCACGGCAACAACATGGGGAGGGAGAGAGATGGAGAGGGTGCTTTGTGTTCCTTCTCCTCCCTCCCACCCGGGATACACCATTCCTATAGGGATTTATTTATTTATTTATTTATTTGGGGTTCTTTTACCCCGCCCTTCTCACCCGGAAGGGGACCCAGGGCGGCTTACACAGTAAAGGCACGATTAGATGCCTGCATCACAGCAATCATCACAAATTACAATAAATTCACAATTACCAACAGTTCATGCATTATTCCAATAAAATCAGTAAAATCTATAAAATCAATACAAACCCAATTCCTCCCTTACACTGTCAGTGTTTGCTGTCTCATAGATCTGCTTTTGATTCCATTTCGTCAATCCTGCTGGTCTTACCCGTCAGATTGTCTTATTTAATTGCCTGGTTGCCCAAAGGCCTGGTCCCATAACCATGTCTTCACCCTCCTCCTGAAGGAGAGGAGGGATGGTGATGCTCTGATTTCCCCGGGGAGTGAGTTCCACAGGTGAGGGGCCACCACTGAGAAGGCCCTGCTCCTCGTCCCCACCAGCCTCACTTGTGAGAGTGGTGGGGTCGAGAGCAGGGCCTCCCCAGATGATCTCAAACTCCGAGGTCGGACGTAGCGGGAGATACGTTCGGACAGATACACTGGACCGGAACTGTACAGCTGATGCCTGGTGCCCCCCTGCCAAAGGCCAACACCCCGGTCATGCGCTGGGTCAAGACCTGCCCCCAGCCCAGCCCTATTGAGTCAAGGAAGGCAAGGGAGCGCTCACCGGAAGAGGTCCACTTCACAGGCGCTGGGCAGGAGGAGCGGGGCCGGGAGGAGGTTCTGGGCAGCGGAGGAGAGAGAGAGAGAGAGAGAGGCGGGTCTGGCTGGGTGGATGGATGGAGGAGTCCTCAAAGGCCAAGGCTCTGGAGCCCGTGCCCTGTGTTACGCCACTTCTCTTTGGGAAGAAGCAGGCAGGCATCCTGGTGGTCCGAGGGGCAAAGGGTCGACCGAGGGGGGGGGGCGGGAGGGAGGGGGCACCTGACCAGCAATGAGCTCCCGTGGCTCGGGCGGAGGGAGGCTGCCAGGGAATGCCACCCAGGCAGGGGTCTCGGGATGCCCAGAGGCCAGGCCAGCCCTTCCCAGCCCAGAGGCCACAGAGTGCAGAGGCCAAAGGGCGGGTCAGAGGGGGAGTGGCCTGGCACCCCCTCAGGGAGAGGAGGAGGAGAGGGGTGGTCAGGCATTTGAGGCTGGGGGGGGGCACAGGGGATGACCCTCGCCCCAGACCCCAGGCGGCGCTCACCTCTTGCTTCAGGGGCAGCACGGGGCTGGCGTCGGGCCTCTCCACCTTGGAGGGGATCCGCACCTGCGGAACAAAGGCCGTCCTGCAAAGCCCGCTCCCTTTCCTGGAAGTCAGGCTGCCCTTTCGGGGGGGGGGGGCTTCACCAGGGGGGTGGGTCCCAGAGGCCCCCCTCCCGTTTTGTGAGAGAGAAGGCCTGTCGCAGTACCTGAATGACGACGCCCATCACAGGCAGGTTCAGCGTCTGGCCGGGCACCGGCGGGGGCCACTGGTCAATCTCACTGCACACTGGGGGGAGGCAGAGAAGGGGAGCTCCTGATGCGCGTGTGCATAGGAATGCATGCACGCACGTGCAGGCACAGACACCCCTCAGCCGAGCCACTTGGGCCCACCACGTCTAGCCAGGGACTGGGGACCCCTCCCCCCTTATGCACTGGATCTGCTGGCAACACAAGCCAGGCTTCCTCACAGCCCGGAGAGGTGCCCGTGACCCTCCCTCACACCCAGGCCAGGAAAGGCCTTTCAGGGTGGCGTGTGCCCCCTCCCCACCACAGACCCTTCAGGCTGGACAAAGCCAGCATATTGGCAGCCTCTGCCCCACAGACATGGCCCAGGAGGCTCTCCCCCAAAGTGCCCCTTGCCCTGCCTTCCTCCTCACCGGCCTCCAGGCAGGGCTCCAGCTTGTCAAAGTACTCCGGGGCAATGAGCTGCAGCAGAGACTGGAAGAGGTTCACGTAGGGCAGGCGGGAGACCAGCACCAAGGACTGCGACACGGAGGCAGAGAGAGGGAGAAACACGCACACACGTGAAGAGAGAACTGTCTGTGTTGCTCTCGGAGATACAATCCCCCTTGTAGGGGTCCTGCTGGGCCCGTGGATGTGCACGCATGGGGGGGGGGTTGGGGGGACACGGCGGCCACTCACCTTCTGGAAGTACCCCCTCTTGACGGAGGAGTCCCTGACCTGCCGGAAGTAGACGTAGCCAAAGTAGTGGGCCGTCTCCTGCTGGGAGGGGGGAGGGAAGGAAGCAGGAGGCCCTTGAGGCTTTGTGGCCCCCGTTTCGGGCCCAAACCCCAGGCGGGGGCCCTGCGTTCCTGACCTGCAGGGCGGCGGGGGCCTCCTTGCGGCAGGCGGTGGCGCTCTGGGCCCAGGGGCGCTCCCGGAGGCGGGACCCGGACTGGCGGAAGCGGAAGCAGTACTGCGTGTCCCCCAGGCTCCCTGACGAAGGAAGGAAGGAAGGAAGTAAGGAGCAGAAGGTTGGGGGGGGGGGCAGAGGCAGAGAGGACCCCTTCTGGCTGCCTCCCCACCCTCTGAGGCTCCCTTTGGCCCCCTTCCGTGCCCCCTTCTGCACTCACCCGAGTAGGAATCCGGGAAGGCCAGGTAGCAGATGCTGGTCTTCTGCAGAAAGATCAGGGGGTGGGAGGTGAGGCTGGGGGTGGCCACAGCGTGGGGGGGGGGGGGGAGAAAGAGGATGCAGGGTTTGAAGGGAATTGCGTGGGAGGGGGATGAAGGGGGCCTCACTGCGCTGAAAACACAATTCTGAAATACGAAGGCCTGGAACACAACTACACTGCTGAACCGTAATTAAAAGTTGCTCCATTGCTGACAACCAGAGATAAATGATTAACTGCTGAACTTTTGATGGAAAACGCCGTGTTTACGTCATCAGAGGCAATGGCTCCTGAAGTTAAGGGAATGTTTACAAGGTTCCTCATGTTAAGAAGGAGGCCAGCAAGGCTCGTTGAGAAGGAAAACCAAGGGTCAGTTAAGGAAAGTCAGCACCTGCCCAGGAACCGATGGGTGTCACCTTCTTCAACGTCTTCGGAGAGTGACCCTTTCGCCCATATTGTGTTTGTTCCCATCTACAGTTGTCCTCGTGAGGCACTTTCCCCCGTCCTCAATGAAGGCCAAACTCCGTCACTGCTCCTCCTCCTCGGCTCCTCCCGCACAAATACGCTTCTTCTATCCCGACCTCATCCAAGGCTTTAACATTTTATCTTGTGCATCTGACTGTCCTTTGTGTTTGACTTTTATTTTATCAATGTATTGTCGAAGGCTTTCCACAGAAATATAAACCCAGTTTTCCTAGTTCCAACAGACCTCACTGCCTCTGAGGATGCTTGCCACAGATCACAGGGACTGAAATATGGACGACGAGTTTTGGATCACGACTCTAGTTATGAGACGCATTGGGTTGTTGCTGTTGTGTAATATTGTATACTGTGCTCTTTTGTTTTGAATTGTATATTGTTGACTGATTTTATCCTGTTGTAAACTGCGTTGAGTCGCCGGTTAGGCTGAGAAACGGCGGTATGCAAGTAAAGTAAATAAATAAATAAAATAAATAAAATAGATGCAGGCAAAACGTCAGGAGAGAATGCCTCTAGACCAGGGGTCCCCAAACTTTTTAAACAGAGGGCCAGATTGCAGTCCCTCAAACTGTTGAGGGCCGGATTATATCTTATTTGAAGCGCAAAAAACACTTTAAAACAATACAATAATTAAAATGAAGAACAATTTTAACAAATATAAACTTATTAGTATTTCAATGGAAAGTGTGGGCCTGCTTTTGGCTGATGAGATAGGATGGGTGTTGTTGTGTGCTTTCAAGTCATATCAGACTGAACAAGGGCCAGGTAAATTTTGGGCTTGGCCTCATGTTAGCCGCCCTGAGTCCCCTTTGGGGAGATGGTGGCAGCTTATAACGTTTATTTATTATTATTATTATTATTATTATTATTATTATTATTATTATTATTATTGTTATTCCAAGGAACAGCATCAGCAGAAATGCCTCCTAATATTCCTAAATTGTGGCAGCCCGCTGGTCTGGCCTCCACCAAGCTCTTCTCCGTGGGAAGGAGTTGTGTGTCTGGCAGGGAACGCAGAGCCTGGCCACTTGCTCCTCTCTCAGAGGAAGGGAGAGAATGTGTTTTGGGAGTATGGGGGAAATGGCAGATTTGCAGGAAGTGCAAGTGGTGCCCCCCCCCCATGGCTCTGGAACTCCCTCCCCAGGGAGATCAGACAGGCTCCTACTTTGTCCTCCTTTCGGTCACAACTACAAACCTGGATGTTCCAGTGTGCTTTCGATTAACAGTCCACCAGGAATTTTCCCTGTTTACAATTGTGATTGTTTTATCTGTAATTGTTGGGCTTGTCCCTTGTAAGCTGCCCCGAGTCCCCTTGGGAAGATGCTGGGGGGGGGGGGGGTATAAAAATAAAGGTATTATTATTATTATTATTATTCCCCATGAGGTGGAAGAAGAGATGGTTGTGTATTTGTGTGTGTGTGTGTGTCAGGTGTGGCTTTAGAAACCGCAAGTCCCTTCTGGTGTGAGAGAATTGGCCATCTGGAAGGACATTGCTCAGGTGTTTTCCCATCCTTGTGGGAGGGAGGCTTCTCTCAGGTCCCCTTTGCATGGGGAGCTGGAGCTGACAGAGGGAGCTCAACCCGCTCTCCCAGGATTCGATTGTGAACTAAGGAAAGAAAGCTTTTTAATGTTTGTGAGAGTTTACAAACACCAGCCGCATCTATCCCTGGCCTGGGCCCACTGGGGCCCTCCCTCTGGGGGTTTTGGACTACAACTCCTAACGGCTGTGAGGAACTGTGGGAGTTGTAGTCCAAAACCCCCAGAGGGAGGTCCCCAGTGGGCCCAGGCCTGCTGTTTCCCATTTAAATGCTATGGCTGTTCCTGATGGGGCGTGGCCTCGCTCCCGGGGGCGTGGCCTGGCTCCCTGTGGGCGGGGCTTACCTCCTTCTCGCTGAGCGCCGGCTCCGGCGGGTAGACCAGCTGCAAGGGAAGGGAGGGAGGGAGGGGCGTTAGAGCGGCGAGGAGGGGGCGGGGCCAGGGGCGCCGTGACGTCACCCGCGCTCCTCCCACCTCGATGGCCTGCCCGAGCTCCAGGTCGAAGGTGACTGCGCAGGCGCACTCCAGCCAGGCCGAGAGCCGGGCCCAGGGCGGTGAGGGCGAGGAGGGGGCTGCTTCTTCCCGCGGCGGAGGCGGCGGAGAGGAGGGGCTCCGGGAGGGAAGGGCGCCGCTCGGAGGCTCCATCGCCGGCCCGGGCGGGGAAGCGCCTCAAGCCCCGCCCCTTCCGCTTCCGGGGCTCGCCGCTTCCGGTTCCGGCTGCGCTCCTTGAGGCGTCCATTTTGGAGCCGGAGCCGCCAAGAAGGGAAGACGAGAAAGAAGGAGGAGGAGGAGGAGGAAGGCAGGCAAGGCCCCGGGTGAGTTCGGCCTCGTTCCCTTCCTCCAGGCCGATCAGGCCCATCGGGAGGGAGGCCAGGAGGGAGGGCTGCCATCCTTCTTTCCTTCCTTGGTGACTGCAAGGGGCGCCCCAGGGAGAAAGGAGGCCCGGCCTGGCCCCAAGGAAGGGAGGGAGGGAGGGAGGAAGAGTCCTGGCGCCTCTTTGCCCAGAATCGCCCTGGGCCTCAATCTGGGCAAAACAATACCAGAGGGAGAGGGAGTCTGAGCTGGAAGGGCCCAGGGGAGGAAGGGGAGGCTCCCCCTCAGAGGGCCACAGCCCTGGAGACCCCGAAGGAAGGAAGGAAGGAAGGAAGGAGGCTCCCTCGGAGGAGGAGAATGAGGAGGAGCGCCCTGGATGGAGAGACGGGCCTCTTTCGCCCTCAAGGGAGAAGAAGGGGGAGAGGACTACAAGAGAGGAAATTCCGCCTGAACATGAGGAAGAACTTCCTGACTGCGAGAGCCGTTCAGCAGTG